TGTCCTCTGGTATCCCACTTGTGGAGACACCAGAGACAATTTAAAAGCAAACACAGCGCAAGCATGTTATTACATTTGCTTGCGCTGCGCAGAACAAATTCAGGGCCTTTTTCTAATGCCAGAGCTCTTCAGCACACAGCACGGTACCAAAAGAAGCTTCTAAACGACCATATGATTGTCCTATCGATTTTATTGGAAGGATCAAAAATTCCTTTTAGTCATATATATCCTCAATCAGAACCGGAACTTAAAACCCTCCGTGACTACCTTAATACTAACTTGGCAAAAGGATTCATACGTCATTCTACATCTCCTGAAGGAGCAGGGTTTTTGTTTTGTTTTGTTACCAATAAAGACTGAACCATCAGACCAATAATCAATCAATACCAACAATTAAATAAAATAACCATAAAGAATCGTTACCCACTCCCACTAATATGAAGGAAGCAGTAGCAGGCCGAATGGTATCATTAAAGGACCACTCTAGGCACACATACTCATTTTCCTGGCAGTATATAGTGTCCTGAGGGTGCCCCACCCTCAGGGACCCCCTCCCGCCCGGCTCTGGAAGGGGGAAAGGGGTAAAAACTTACCTTTTTCCAGCGCTGGGCGGGGAGTTCTCTGCCTCCTCTCCTCCTCCGATCCGCTCCGTCGGCTGAATGCGCACGCGCGGCAAGAGCTGCACGCGCATTCAGCTGGTCGCATAGGAAAGCATTCTTAATACTTTCCTATGGACGCTTGCGTGCTCTCACTGTGATTTTCACAGTGAGAAGCACGCAAGCGCCTCTAGCAGCTGTCAATGAGACAGCCACTAGAGGATTTGGAGGAAGGCTTAACCCATTGATAAACATAGCAGTTTCTCTGAAACTGCTATGTTTATAAAAAAATGGGTTAACCCTAGAAGGACCTGGCACCCAGACAACTTAATTAAGCTGAAGGGGTCTGGGTGCCTAGAGTGGTCCTTTAATGATACCATTCGGCCTTTGTAATGCTACTGCTTCCTTCATACATGATATTTTCAAGGAGTTCTCAAATGATTTTTTGGTTGTTTATTTAGATGACATCCTTATATTTTCACAAGATAAAGAGGTTCATATCAAACAAGTAAAAAAGGTACTCCAACGTTTAAGAGATCATAAGTTTTTTGCCAAACCCGAAAAGTGTCTTTTTAAAAAAAGTGAAATTCCCTTTTGGGCTACATAATAGCTGATTCTTCTATTCGTATGGATCCCAAAAGAGTTGAGGCTATCACAAATTGGCCCCGACCTAAATACAAAAAATTTATTAAAAAATATTCTCACATTGTTTCTCCACTAACAAACCTTACAAACAAGATCAACCATTTCATTGGGGTGAAAAGGAACAGGATTCTTTTGAATCATTAAACAGTTTCATATCTGCCCCTATTCTAAGATAACCCAATCCTACTCTCTAATATGTCCTTGAAGTAGATGCTTCGGATATTGCAATTGGAGTCGTACTCTCTCAAAGAGATAATCCTTCTTCTCCTTTAAATACTATATCTTTTCTTTCTAAAAAAATTATCTCCCACAGAAATAAATTAGTGTTGGAGAAAAATAATTGCTATCCATAAAAATATCTCTTGAAGAATGGAGACATTTACTTAAGAGTTCTTCTGTTCCTTTTGTTATTTTCACAGACCATAAGAACCTTGAATATCTCCATTCTGCAAAAAGGTTAAATTCTAAATTAGCCCGGTAGGCTCTTTTAAAAAAAAAAAAAATTTTTTTAACGGTTTGATTTTCATATCACTTACCGTCCAGGTAATAAAAATGGTATAGCTGATGCTTTATCAAGAATGGATAAGTTACTCAATTTCTAAATTCTGATGCGATTTTCCACTCTGATACCATAATTGGTTTAATGACCTCTTTATCACAGAAAATTGCCACTTCCTATTCTATAGCGACCCTTCCCCTGATTTTCAATTAACCAAGAAAGATGGGTTATGGTACAAACGTACCTCTTATACGTACCTCTATCCTTAAGAAGGAAAAATAATGTCTTATTTTCATGACAAACCTCTTTCTGGTCATCCAGGGATCAATAAAACCTTTCAATTATGTAAACGATACTTCTGGTGGCCCAAATCCCACAAAAGTATTGAAAATTATGTAAAAACCTGTTAAGAGTGTCAAAGGAAGAAAAAACCTTCCACTCCACCCTTTGGCCTATTACAACCTCTCCCAACTCCTTTTAGTCAATGGTCTTCCATAAGTATGGATTTTGTTGTTGACCTAGCTTTGTTGAAGGTTAATACTTGTATTCTTACTATTCTAGACCGTCTCACAAAGATGGTTCATTTCATTCCCCTTCCTTCTGTTCCCTCTGCATCTTCACTCGCTAAAATCTTCATAAAGGAATATGTCGTCTTCACAGATCTCCAGATGAGATTATTACAGATAGGGGAGTTCAATTTACTTCTCTCTTCTGGAGAGAATTTACAAAAAATCTACAAATACAACATACATTATCCACTGCTTTTCATCCCCAAACAAATGGGCAAAGTGAGAGATTAAACAGTATTTTGAAACAATATCTTCGTATTTACACCACTCACCAACAGGGTAATTGGAATTCCCTATTGCCTGTCGCTGAGTTTTCATACAACAATAACATTCAAACATCTACAAAATTTTCCCCTTTCTATTCCAAGTATGGCTATAACCCTAAATTCTTACCTATAAAATTTTTAGTCTTGATAAAATTCCTGATTTAACATCAAAGAAACTCCTATTAAATAAAAAATAATAAAAAAAATACTTTCACGTAGACTTTAAGATCTTGTCAAATGGAAAGGGTATGATGACTCACACAATCAATGGGTTCCTCATTTTGGCTTACATGCCCCTGAGTTGTTGGATGCTTTTCACTCCAAATATCCCCTTAAACCTCATAGCTCCCAGAGGTAGTTCTTTGGCGTGGAAGTGTGTAACGGTTCCTTTAAATGGTTCACTTTACTTTCCAATCACTATCACTTTAAGAGTCTAATTGAAGTTCATGAATCCACCTATTTAAACCTTCAACTTCAATGTCTCAGTGCACAATTAATGTTGACACCTATATACTCTGCTAGAGGTACCTTTCTACCAAGTCCCAGTGACTCTTCCAAATCCCCTCAAAGTTAAGTCCCAGTTAAAATTATTTGCCTTTTACTTGTTACCGAGCCGGATTGGACTTTGACACTTCTTACAAATTCTCCTTATGGAAAGCTACTATCTGAGCAATAGTTTCAAGTGAATCACGTTGGATACCTAAGCATCCTACAGTTCAACACTTTGTATAATACAATATGGTCCCTGTGACGAGACCAATCTCGCCACATTGCATTGGAGAAGCCTGGTTGCTCGCCTGCTGCCTTTGGACTATGGCCCCCTGTTAAAAGACATCTTTTTTACCTGCAGAAAAGCTTCATTCGTGCTTTTCTGCCTGGGGTTCGGTAGATTTGTTTGAATGTGTTATACCCCAGATAGGAATCCCATGGAGCCCATTCGTATGAAACTGACTGTAAAGACTTTGGCTCAATGGTGATTAAACTGTATTCGTGTGGTCTGAGCGCCATTCGCTTAATAATGTGCGCTCGGACCTGAGCTATCTGGGGATATGTTACATGTCTGTGTTTTATGTAATAAATGTGACTTTATGTATTTTAAAGTGTTTTGTGTCTTTTTGCAACTATGTGCTTAATGGAGTCTTGTGTCTGTCCTGGGAGATAATTGAATTACTCTCCAGGATAGAAG